CAATATATATATATATATATATATATATTTACACTTTACAGTTTAAAAGCTCGCTACGGATTCTTGACTGCCAAGTTTGTTCGAAATTGATTAAAGCTGTAGTGATGGTCAGGTAACCAAAATATTGTGAATAGAATGCACGATGTAACTACACGCAGAGTCGGGACTACTTTTTCCGACGGAACCCACATTTTTATCTCCTGGTGTCAGTGCTCAATTTGTGTGTGTGTTTTACCAATAATTTCTGAAGTGCAAAATGCAGGCTTCTATGTAGTTACTATGGCTACTACCACGTGCATTTACACTGACAGCAAAATAAGTAGTTAAATGATGTGGGTAAATATTTTTAAAATACGAAGTTAGTAGCACATTTTGAATGAGATAATCTTTATAGCAGAGTTTATTCAAACGCAAATCTGTCCAAATGGGCAACTACGCTGTGCCCTCCGTAGGGATCGAACCTCGAATTTTAGCGTTAAAAGCTTTTAAGCTTATCGCTAAGCCGTGGAGGGGGAGGACTCACAGACGAGATGGCAGTTTATGATGTTCAGAGGAAATGCATTAGTTATTAACACGTATAGGTTGGAAAATATGGGATAATTAAACTGGATTTATGCCTCCTATCGTACTCAGTTGTGAGCCTGTACCACATTAATTATTGCTGTTAGAACTGTACAGTGACCGTTATTAAGTTTTAAAACACTAAATTCAAAACGCCATAAAGATTATCTTCTTTTCGTCTTCACCCGTGAGCTGTTTGTCATCTGAAGTTCTAAAGCTGAATCTAATGTTTGTCACTCTTTCTTGGGGGAAGTGGTTGAGTGGGGTTGAAGTTGTAGCGGTTTTTTTGTAACATCTTTTTTGTCACGTCTTTCTTGGGGGAAGTGGTTTGGTGGGTTGAAGTTGTAGCCGGTTTTTTGTAACATCTTGTTTGTCACGTATTTCTTGGGGGAAGTGGTTGAGTGGGGTTGAAGTTGTAGCCAGTTTTTTGTAACATCTTGTTTGTCACGTATTTCTTGGGGGAAGTGGTTTGGTGGGGTTGAAGTTGTAGCCAGTTTTTTGTAACATCTTGTTTGTCCCGTCTTTCTTGGGGGAAGTGGTTTGGTGGGGTTGAAGTTGTAGCCGGTTTTTGTAACATTTTGCTACCACGAACACGCTATAGTAATTGTTTACAATTTCTTACTGCTATTATTGGGTATAATTATGTTATTACACACAGCAACAAAAAGGCTGTATCTTATTGTTCTTCTTTTCAGACCCGTCAAATCAACCAGACGAAATGCTTCTCGAGAGGAGAGACAAAGTTATGAAGATATATAAGGAATTTGAGGTCAGTAAATCTTATTAACTAGCTCATTGCCTTTTTATTCCACTAATCCTTTCACACTAAAGACATACATCTCCAGCCTGACACTGTCATGCGTTACCAGGACGTTTATTTGTTAGAATCACACTGTGTTAAGTGAGACTACGTCACTGAGAGAACATAGGATTCATAGATAAGCTACCTTGCTAAAGGCTGTGTTCTTTGAACGAAATCTTGATACACAATCGGGCGTGAGAACCCATTTTCTAATGATGATTTTTCTCTGCAAGAAGTGAAGAGATAAGCGCAAAACTTGTGTTATTCGAAAACTCTGCATACTAACTATCAATGAAAGACAGTTTTAGTATGCTTTCTATCGTTCATCGAAGGACCAAACACGGCCACTAATTTCTATTATGTTCAATTCCCGATTTTAGTAAGCAAACAGTTTTGTAGTTTAGTTTCTTTAATTTGTGTTGGATCCGTTTCTACCATTAAAAACTTTGTAGTATAGATCACAGTAGTGTGAATTATAGAGTTTTAATTTTAGTTTGTTCAGAGTAACTATACGCTTTTCTTTATCGGCTTATTATTAACTAATTTTAAATTGTTTAAGATTTCGTTTTGGTGCTAATTCGTCTTTATTAAGATCATAGGGCTTATCCACTCAGAATTGTAACTAATGTAATAAAATAAAGCAACTATACACGTATTTTAATATTTTCTTTCAGTATCTCAAGTCAACACATAGTATCTTCTATTATTAACACAAGTCAACACATAATATCTTCAATCAATAACACAGTCGACACATACCTCATGTCTCTAACACAAGGCAACACATGATATATTTCAATACATTTTCTAAGAGCAGTAACATTACAAGCTCATATCATCTATCGGTAACACGAGTAAACACATAACACACTGAGATTATTCGTTGTGTAGATAATGTGTTTACAGACTAACTATGGTGATTATGATATGTCTAGCTTAAAAAAACTATAAACAAACTAAAACAAGATGAAAGAACACACCACAATACAACATTTCGTGAGACGATGCCATGTTAACGGTGATGAAAGGTCGTGTTGTAATATATTTTAATCTAATCCGGTTTTTAGCAATTAGTTCTTTTAAAACTTTTACATACGACACGTTCTAGAATCTAGAGCTTATATAGCAGTGGTTTTTTTAGTTGTGTGTAGTGTAGATGCTTTGTGTACAACGATAGCTGTGGTGTGTGGTGGTTATAGCAAGACTGTACGATTGTCTATTGTATGGTTGTGTGTGGTGTGATTGTGTTTGATTTTTAGTGGTAGCATACAGATAATATTAAAGCCAGTATTAAATACCGGCACTCATAGAATGGTTTTGAGTTAATTATTTTTTTGAAGTACAAACTTTTAACTCATAGCTCCGTCATCTCTTGACCAATTTGACCACGCCCAAGGTCTCATATATATTAATTTACTATAATCCTGCCTAAAAGAATTTCAATTGGATGGTAGGCTGGTAGAGGTCTTAATTAGTAATAAAATCGAATCTGGTGTACGAGAGTCCCACGCTTGGTATTGCTGGCGCACAAAAAAGAAAAGAAAAAAAAAGGTCTCATATATTAATTTAATCCTGCCTAAAAGAATTTCAAGTGACACGTCTATTGGGGATTCTCTCTTGTTTTGTGTTTTTTTAAAATCAAGTTATAGATATTATGGTATATTTTTGAAATATTTATTATGTTATTAATTAGAAAACAAGTTTTAAAAATCTCGACTAAGGTGAAGGGTTTGAAAAGTAGTCCTCCAGTTACATGAATTTTATACCAACACCACATTTTCCATAAATACATCCCTGTAGAGATGAAAGTTGGTGTTATATGGTAGGAAGGTTTACTCAAGATGTTCGCTTGTTTACAACACGATACACAATACTGTGGGTTTGAAAAATGTGAATCTGTTTTTGAAACCATACAATTAATGGGTAGGAGGAACTCGTGAGTCGAACTGCAACAGCCATAAAGTTTTAGTAGATATGTCATATTCCAGTAACGGGGAACGTGTCAATCGGGCTAGTGTTGGGGAACAGATCCACATTTGGAGAGCTCTGTCCCCCATCAGCTTCCCATATCATGATTTAGGTTTTTAAGAGTTTAAAATTCTCTACATTGTGACTTCCAGTGACATGAAAATGTCAATTTTTTCTGCCCCTTCTTTGCCACTACAAAAAAAAAAAAAAATAAAATAGAAATGCCACTACAAGTTACAAACCTATATCTTATCATTTGCTTTCAGTGAATTAAAAATGTCGATAAGGATACTTTCTTTTGAACGCAGAGACATATTAAAAGTTTCTCTTCTATCTAGAAATAAGCGGAAAGAAAAAATTAAGTAAATCCGAGTGTTTTTAAAGTAAATATAAATAGCTTATATTAAGTTATATATTTTATTGAACAAGGATATTATGATTAAGCTTTGTCGTTTTTCCAGCCTGTTTATTCAAATATAAGTAATTTCGCTTTTCTTTTTTATTTTCGATTCACCATTTTGTTTTTCCCGCAGCTTGATGACATTATTGAACGTTGTAGGAAGCAGTATTTCCCCAGTTTTACGTTAAAGGAATTTCTTCGTGCCCACTGCGGTAATGACGCGGAGAGTATTATGACGAAGGTAAGAACTAACCATCTGTTTATTGATCTCGTATTACATTCTGTTTGTTATAGATTTTTTGCGCATAGCTACAAGTAAGACTATCTGCGCATAGCTATCCCTAATTTGGAAATGATGAACAAAAGGAAAGACAGCTATTCAACAGTTGAACCCACTGCCAACTTCTGAAAAATAACTTTAATAGAAGAGTAGTTCAATCCTGGCCCGGCATGGCCAGGTGGTTAGGGCGCTTGACTCGCAATCTGAGGGTCGCAGGCTCGAATCACCAAACATGCTCGCCCTTTAAGCCGCAGGAGCGTCATAATTTGACGGTCAATCCCACTATTCGTTGGTAAAAGAGTAGCCCAAGAGTTGGCGGTGCGGGGTGTTGACTAGATACC